ATATATATATATACATATATATGTTTGTATGTGTGTGCGTGTATAACAAGTATCTATATTTATCTACGTATTTACCGGAGGCTTGTCTGGACACACCAGTCGGGTATTCCCCGACGGCATCTGTATTACGCCACACTCGCACAGTACTATCCGTTTTACTGAAGAAATGTATGTCATTATTCAGATATACTGACAATGGTTTACCTGATGTTTTTTTTTGTACTAGTCATATTTTTGCTTTCGTACTTTTTCACGTCAATGATAATATTCGGGAGTAGGTCGTGTAATACTCAAGAACGCTGTTGTATTTAAATGCAAGAAATATATTGTGCCCATATTCAGAAGTGACGAGGTGACACACGCTTCTACAAAAATTGAATTTGAAACTTTGGTAAGGACGTATAATATTATATGATAAATTGCAAGCGAGTTGTTTCCAATTTCGATTGATCTATAAAATGTAATATTAATTTGTGGCTTCAGAGAATTTGGAATTAAAAATTTTTTCATGCACATTTAAATGAATAATAATTTATAGAAAAATGTAATTAATGTTATTTGTAGTGAGAGATACCTATATGTAAAATTATATTACGTTTTGAGAATTAATTCAAATGTAGACGCCAAATAAAGTGATAAATATAAGGAAACAGCTTCATCTCTACATGAAACAATTTTCAACGAGTGTTCTGCATGTATTTTTCTAGGATAATAAATAAAAATTACGATAGATAAGTTGTATGTGTATAATAGAGAAATTTATTGACTGTTATAATTTTTATAACATTTATTGTATTCATATATCTATTATTGTAACATTTTAAAAATAACTTGTAAATTACATCACATTGTAATTATTTCTAGAGATCATAAAAAATATCTTACGCTAACTGAAACATATTTTGCAGCTTTAAGACGCATTTAGAAAAGTCGGTGGGCAATTTTTGTCAAAATTTATCTATCGGAATATCGGCAATTTAGAAATAATGGAAAAGTCGCAAGCCAAAGAAAATTTTCAAATTGAAAAAGCTACGGAAATTGACGTTAAGGTCGAAAAAAACAGTGATTCTATTAATATAGAAAATAAAGATGATATCAACAATTTACGAGTCCGTGAAAACACTGGAAATATACGAAAAAAACAATTAATGTGCGAGTACTGTCAAAAGAAATTCAATCACGCTGGGGACCTCAACAAGCACAGAAGAAAGCACACCGGTGAGCAGCCTTACGCATGTAATATGTGTGAACGAAAGTTTACGACGTCGTCTAATCTTGTTAGACATCAACATTTACATCTCGGGATAAAACCGTTCCATTGTCAGATTTGTGGACACAGTTTTACCCGAAAAATCAAACTTTCCACCCATTTAAAAACTAAGCATCACGAAGCTCTAAAATCTGACTAATGAATATAATGCTATATAAATTATAAATAAAATATTTAAAAAAGTAATAATATAAGCTATGTAAGACATAAGAGTTAATAGAAATAATATTATTGTAAAGGAGAAAAAAAGATAATAGAATATCTTTTAAAATACGAGTTTATATATCTCTCTCTTAGACACTGTATGTTTGATTTGCTTACGCAAAATAGACCATTTTAAAAATCTATATAAAAATGATTTTATTTATTTGATGACAGTTTGAAAGACGATATATAACGCACAATTATCTTTTTTGCTGTATATTCTCTAATAAACATAAATAAAATTATTAAGGGGATCCTAAAGTCATATATTTTACCGAATGCAATTGCTTTTCATATAAATATTTTTTTTAATCTGTCTTTACAGATTTAAAAATCCTTTTCCACAATTAAAATATAAACGGTAATGTAGTCCAACCAGTCGACTTCGTGTCAAAAATGAAAAAAGTTTGAAAATTACAGTTTTGTTATCAGCTTCTGGCGTAACAATATTTGCTTCATATATACAAGTTTTATACTTTGTATATATAAATGTCACAATCAAAGTGTTAATTTTAGTAAATGTACTTACTAGTCAATATATACATTTATAATATACAGTGACTACAGCAGACTACAGTAAATGTATACATTTACTGAGTTAACACTTTGACTGTGACATAAAAAAATGAAATGATCTTAGTTTAGACTAGGAATTACATGAACAAACAATGTTGAGTTCTTAGAATTAGGCTCAGGACCTAATATGGAAGGTTAGCAAATTCGTATGTAATAATGTGTAGTAATGCGTCAATCTATTGCGAGATTCTTTAACACGATTGGTTTATATATTTAGATCCAGTGAAGAAGTAAAGACGAGACCAACATTAAAGAATTTTACAACAGTTGCAAAACTGTTTCTTCTGCTAAACTCAGCCAATGGTGATGTTCAGCAAAAAAAGTAGCTTTGCAACTGTTGGAAGATTTTTTAAATATGATTGGTTTTTGTCGTTGATCTTCACAAATCTAAATATACAAACCAATTATATTAATTTTACAACACGGCGCAAAGTCGCTGTTCTTCAGTACCAAAGCCAGTAACATATAAACCATTTGTATATAAATCCTACTAAATCGGCAAAGTAAACGCCTTTAGGATCACTATAAAAGATGTTACTGGTATCAGCAAATACAATATTGTCTTCAAATTATATTATATTAATAATATAGATCTGATCCGACGGAAAATATGCAAACTTTTCCGTGAAAATGAGTTACCTACTAACACTAACAAATATACATGGCACTATACATTAGTATGTACTTCCTGATTGGCCATCATTGAATAAAGAGTATAAGAAGCATCCTTCTGTGGTGGACGTTGCAACGGATGCGCTAAGAGCTTTGCCATATTATCATGTATTTTAGCAGCGTTCCTACCTACTTCGAAGATATAAGAGAAATTCGTTGTGTCTAAAGCCGCGATTTCGGCGTACACCGCCTCGCACATATTGTCATCGCTAGGTGGTTCGTGGGCGAACAGCACATCCAAGAAGAAGTATGGATTCTCTGTTAGATTCTCTAGATACTTTTGTCCAGTGTGGAACTTTGGGACGGAATTTGATCGTCCATATATGAAGATAACACGCGAGGTGAATGTCGGTTGGTTCCTCCCTGGTGTTGCTATCCGAGAGTGTATTACCTCAAATAGCAGCCCTAAATCATAGGTCTTTTGCTCCTCGTCTGGTACATCTTCCGTGATACCCTCCAGATGATTAAGAATAATCTTTGTATTACTGGTGTAGTCACAGAGCCAGGAAGCACTTTGTGAATCCAGGCTCATCAGCGCGTACTCATGCACCCCAGGCTGTATGGTAGACTTCGCGCCAATAAAGTTCTCCACCACACGTTTTATCATGAACAGAGGTAGGTAGGTCGCACCTGTACCCAGTTTGAAAGGCGTGCATTGCTGCTCCCTCACTGTGTCAATAACAAATAGAATCTTCTCAGGCAAATTGAGCTCAGGTACGTTTCTTATAAAAACGTACTCCTCCGTGGTAGCTGTAGTAGTAGTGGCATCAGGCTTTTTGCTATCTGCAGGATGACGCACTACACTGTTATTGTTGTTTTTCCGTGAACTCTTTGCCTGCTGCTGTTGTTGTTGTTGTTGCTGTGGCGGAATATTGTTGTACACTGGCTCGATGGTCGCAACGTTATGCAGTTTTTCAGCTATCACTTGGATCTCATCATTCGTCTCCTTGTCTGACATGTTTATACCTTGTAAGTATCCAAGGATAAATCTAACCTCTTCGCACCGTTCGAGATGTAGTCTTGCCTTGACAAATATCTCGAGGCACTTCAAAACAATTCGGAAGCTTCACATAGCGCGTTGATTTTGCGCAATATTATACGGATAATTTAAAATCGAACTGTGTGTCTGACAATTCCTGATAACGTCAAACAAACCCTAAAGTGCCCTGAACAGACCTACCCTAATGATCTGCCCATCTATCTACTCGTCGGATTCTTGAATTGGAATTGTTCGTAATCGTGCAGAATACTATTTCGGTACATTTTCATGAGCCGCTCAAATCGGCTGTTTCAGCGACAAAAACCATCACATAATCAAAATTGATACTTGATATTCGTCAATAGGTGCATTCAGTGGTCGCGTTCAGCAGACTCAACTGTTGTGGAGCAGATCCGTGAGCACTTGCTGCTATTGGTGCTATTCTTCTAGATCATCCAATACCAACGAGCGTTCAGTGAGCTCTTGTATCTGTTTGGTCTATATTTTTGGATCTAACGGAATATGCCAATTAGATCCAAGAGCTCAGTGAACGGTTGTAGACTACTGAATGCACCCAATTTTGATCACGTGATTTGTTTCGTCGCTGAAACGGCCGGTTGGAGCGGCTCGTGAAAATGTACCTTCATGATTTACAACTTCAAGGTATTCAAGTGTATACGTTTACACGTGTGGTTTACCACGAGGATATTAACTTCGCGTCTGTAATTTTTAATATAGCCACGATATATTCCAGTGTATACGTTTACACATGTGGTTTACCACGAGGATATTAACTTCGCGTCTGTAATTTTTAATATAGCCACGATATATTCCATAACTCGAGAAAATGTCCGTGCCCGAAAAAATATTGATGCGAAAAATTAAAAAACGGGAAAAGACGAAATTAAACGTGCTGAAATGCCGAGAAGAAGAGAAAGGTAAGAGCATGCGAACTTCGAGGTTAGATCTCATGGAAAAAAGATAGGCTGATATAATTATCTTTCTAAAACATGTACAATTTTAATTATTCAGAAAATAGGAGATATCTACATATATATAAAATTGTCAATTATTAAAGCCAACGGATTTTTATTTTTTGTTTTAATCTTCTGTGACAAAAATGATCACTATTTATTTCAAATAAGGCTTGTTTCTTATACACATACAGATGAATCAGTGAAAGCAACTGAAACAGATTGCTTAGAAGATATTCCTGTAAAGTAATAACTTATTTTAATCTATTTTTATAATAGATTTTTTATTATATAAACATTGATATTTTTTGCAATCTGTTTTACTGAGAAGCTAATGACAACATATGTCTTGTTAATCATTATTCTTATTTTTTATTATATAATTATTAATAAAAACTTTATCTTTTTTAGAAAAAAGACAGATAAACGCATCTGAAGAAAATGAAAAGTCTGATGTAATAGAGAAATCTTTGGTTACTGAAAATTGTATGTATTTCTAGTATAACTAATTGTTAAATTTGTACATTAATAATATTGGTATATACTTTGTTTAGTACCTGGCACAGCTGTAGGTTTTGAAGTGACAAATGATACAAGTTTCTCAGTATTAAATGAAAAAGTATGTGAGAATACATTAAAAGCAATAAATGATATGGGTTTCACAAATATGACAGAGATACAAGCAAAAGCTATTCCTCCTCTTTTGGAAGGGAGAGATTTGGTTGGTGCTGCCAAAACTGGATCTGGCAAAACTTTAGCGTTTTTGATTCCTGGTGTTGAACTGATTTATAAATTGAAGTTTATGCCTCGTAACGGTATGTAATTTTGATGGCTATAATTTGCATCAGAAAGACATTCTAAACAATTTTTTATTTTATGAATAATCCTTATGGGCCTTTTACAATAAGCCATTAGTCATAAATCAGAAGTCAGAAGCTAAAAATTGACCAATCACAGTCGTTAATTTTTAGTTTCTGACTTCTGATTTATGACTAATAGCTTATTGTAGAAGGCCCATTATAAATTTAGTCCAGTATAAAATAAAATATTTATATAGTCATTATTTTTTATGACTATATTATATATATATTGTAATATTACTTTTTTATCTTTGAATAATATAAAAATAAATGTTTAGAAATCAGTAATACAATAAAATTTTAATGTTCTAATTATATAAAATCAATAGAAATGAAATATAATAAATAGATATTTGCAGGTACTGGATGTATTATTATGTCTCCCACAAGAGAATTAGCTATGCAAACTTTTGGAGTCTTGAAAGAATTGATGAAATATCATTATCACACATATGGTCTACTAATGGGCGGTGCTAGTAGGCAAACCGAAGCACAAAAACTTGAAAAGGGAATCAATATTATTGTGGCAACACCGGGACGATTATTGGATCATTTGCAAAATACACCTGACTTCTTATACAAAAATCTCCAGTGTTTGATTATCGACGAGGCCGACCGTATTTTAGACATCGGTTACGAAGAAGAGTTGAAGCAAATCATTAACATTCTTCCCAGTTAGTAATATTTTGCATATATATAATTTGACTTCAATATTAGAGTCAAATTAGCTATGTATTTTTTTCCTATTACTGTATGAATTATTGTTGCAGAGCGCCGACAGACTATGCTTTTTAGTGCGACACAAACACAAAAAGTAGCAATGATAACAACGTTAGCTCTTAAAAAAGAACCTATATACGTGGGGGTCGACGACGACAAGGAAATGGCGACTGTGGAGGGTTTACAACAAGGATACGTAACATGTCCGAGCGAAAAAAGATTTTTACTTTTGTTCACTTTCTTAAAGAAGAACAAACAAAAGAAAATAATGGTTTTCTTTAGTTCCTGCATGTCCGTTAAATATCATCATGAACTCTTGAATTATATTGATTTACCAGTAATGAGTATTCATGTAAGTTATAAGATCTTTTTCTGTACTGTTTTCTATATTAATAACAAGATTCTTTTCTGATTTAATATTCGCACTCATTGACAGGGTAAACAGAAACAAACGAAAAGAACAACAACCTTTTATCAATTTTGCAACGCTTCCACCGGGATTTTACTTTGCACTGATGTGGCCGCAAGAGGTCTAGATATACCAGACGTTGATTGGATCGTGCAGTTTGATCCACCAGACGATCCTAAGGTAAGGATTGATACAATATTTTGCTTTGCGGATTATCATTAAGATAATTTCCAACAACAAAACTTAGATTAGCAATTAAACAAATTTGTAATATGTAGTTGTGCGATTTTTAGGAATATATCCATCGCGTAGGTCGAACTGCTCGCGGAGAAGGCAGTAGTGGTCACGCTTTGCTGATATTGCGACCAGAGGAACTTGGTTTTCTTCGATATCTTAAGATGGCCCGTGTACCCGTTAACGAATATGAATTCTCTTGGAATAAAATTGCTGATATACAATTGCAAGTAAGCAATATATTTATTATAATCTTTTTCTGGTTTGTTTTTTAAATTATTTTCTATGTAGGCCTTAGTTTGAGACCTTTGGACAGAATTTAAAAAATTTGAAAATTTAAGTAAGATTTATATCTCATATGTTCTATCGAGAAATCGAAACTATCAATTCCATCAATTTAACAAACATATCTGCACGTTCTAGAGGCAATATAAAATACTGTTTCCTTTTTTTTAGCTTGAGAAGTTGATTTCGAAGAATTATTTCTTACATCAATCAGCAAAAGAGGCATTTAAGAATTATGTTAGAGCATATGATTCTCATCATTTGAAACATGTTTTCAATATAGAGACCTTGGATTTGGCAAAAGTCGCCAAATCGTTCGGATTTGCTGTACCGCCAGCAGTAGATTTGAGTAAGTCCTTTTAAAAAGTTGTTAACATTAAGCGCAAATACTTTCATAAGTTTAATATAAATAATTTCTCATTGGAAATTGTTAATAATTTATAAAAACGAAACAATTTAACACACACACGCACACAGAGAGAGAGAGAGAGAGTTTTAAAAATTTTTTTTGTTTTTAATACCTATATTTGATCAAAATTAATTTAATATTTCTTTAACGTATTCTGATTATCTTTTTATAAGCGTTAATTTATCAAAACTGTTAAAAAAATTAAATCGTATATAAAAATTTGAAAACAGTATAAATATTATTACTCAAACAGTCTACATTGTGTCAAACATCATTTTTTAAATTTAATTTTTTTATTGCACATAGAAGTAGGAATCAGTAAGGCTTCACGACCACGAAAAAGACTCGGTGGAGGTGGTTATGGACACTTCAAAAACATAAACGATCCAAGTTCGGCAAAGCAGGTGAAGCGCACCAAGACCTTCCGCCAAGTAGGCAAACGTAGGCAAGATAACCGGCAATTCAGCAGATAATGGTCATTCATGTATATGTACTCTTTACACGCATGAATGATGGATAGCGTTTAGTTATAATGCATAGTTAATTATTATTATCTTATAGGTATTATTGTACAGTTTAACATAATAAGTAAAAGTATCTTTTTAAATGTATAAGCCTTATTATTATTATTATAGCTACATATTGGATTGTTACATAAGTTCGTTCGATTTTGTTAGCTTAAAATTGTATATGCAATATTTTCATTAAAAATGAACGGAATTTAAAGTTAAAAAGGAGATTTTGAAGCTTGAAATCTACTTTCGTAAAGTTACTATATTTTTTGAGGTTATGTAAGTTTGATTTTTATACAAAAAGAACGATAAACTAAAAAAAAAATTAAAAAATTTTCTTCTCACTTTGTAGGCCTGTTATGTGCCCAAAAAATTACAAACTTTGTTCTATTGAATAGTGTAATTGTCAATTTCTTTAGAAAATAGAATATATAAAACAGTTTTAGTCTATCCTACAAAACCAAACGAACTTATGTAACAATCCAATAAATTGAGAACAAAATATATTTTGTCTTTAAAATTTAGTTTGTAGAATATTGAAAAATTCAATTGCATTTTGATAAAGCGATTCTAGTATTGCAGTTATTGACATTACTAGCAAATCTTAGCGAATTTATTATGTATGTATGTTCCTTTAACTCTTGTATGGAACATAGGGCCTCTAGTAAGGTTTCAATAACAATACTGGTAATAAAAAAAAAATTGCATATATGGGCGTAGGTGAGATTGAATCTGAATCTACAATCGCACCGAGCAGCAAATTATTTGACGCCTTCAGCGAATTTAATGTCTATAATTCGTCTAATAAAATATGTAAAAAATACGTGCTATTTACATTGACAAGTAAACATTCTTGGCATTCAGCTGTTATCTGATTTCTACATATTTTTATATAAAATAAAGAATTATAAATAAAAAGTTAATATGTTTGTGATTTTGATTTGCATAATCTCTTATCTAACTGTGTTCTTTTGATAATTTACTGTTTCTGGGAACTAAAATTTCAGCTATTTATACTTACAATAGATTAAACTGATTTAAAATTCTATAAATTTTCTGTCTGTCTCAAAATAGCGAGCATTTTTAATATCCTTTCTTTCTATTTAATCACAAAAACATTTTATTGACTTTTGAAAGTTTGAATTTTGCGCTTCATAAAATATCGAATTGCCAACATCCAACAAATAATTATGGTAGAATTAAATCATGCAAATAAAAATTTTGCAGTTGGTAATTCCAGTCGACCGCCATCGGCGCCATCTATGGTTCAATTGTATGGTTTCGCGCCTTTCGGACGAGTACTAGATTGATCGTAGATTGCTGTTGTGATTTCAATAGTTTAATGATCTATTCATGTTTCGAAACAGACCTGTGAAGGGATTCATATCCCCTTTGATCGTTCAACAACAAACGAGCACCGAGGAATGTAGTGAAAACGAGATATCCGCGTGTCAGGAAAAAGCGCCGGCGCCGAGCGATTTAGTGAAAAAGCCTGTCCGAAACAATTCTCAAGTATTGCATTTGTTCGAAAACTTAGAAACTCTAACTCAAAAAGATGAGATCGGATGCGATAATGTCGATGTGGAGAATAATTCACCGAGGAAACAAAATGCTAATTCTCCGATATGCGAAAAGAAAATGTCGATCACTGATTCCCCCCAAGCGACAGCAAAAATGTAAATACATACTCCGAATGAACGTTAGAATAGATCTATATCTCGATTTTACTTGTAAATAAATATCGGTTTCTTACAGTGTTTTTAACGTGGTGTACAGCAAGATAACTTCAAAAAAACACAAAACATGGGATGACGATGGTTTACTAGAAGTAACTGGGAAAAATGCAATTCTTAAGGTAATTCAGGACATCCTCTATAAATCTTCAATCATTAAATAATTGCGTTAATAAATCATTAAATTATAAAGATTGTTTATTAAATGCTTTTGATACATATTATAGAATTTGGATGGTAATATTATAGGAAGAACTACAGTTAATCCAAATAATATGGCAGAAGGCTCTAAATTAATTATAGGAAGCAAACAAGTAGAGGTAAGAGTTGTATTAATTTTCATTTATGCAATATTTAGAGAAAACTGACAAGGTTAATTTTAGATTATAGATAAAGTGTCGACAGAGCAATCTATATCACAGAAGAGTCCTGAAGTAGAGGAACCATTACAAAAAAAACTTAAAACATCCATTATATGTGCATTTCAGTCACCAAAGAAAAATGAAAATGCTACATCTTGTGAGAAAAAAGTATCAACTGAAAATTCACCCGAGGCAAAAACAAAAACGTAACTATTTTTAAAGTAAATTTTAAATTATTAATTTTTATCTCTTGTGCTATAAATAAATATCAATGCAGCAGGTTCAATGTGATGGTCAGCAAAATAACTTCGAAGAAACATAAAACATGGGACAGCGACGGTTTGTTAGAAATTGTCGGGAAAAACGCTATTCTTAAGGTAATTACTGCTTCAACTGCAGGGTTGGCAAGAGTCCACATTTTTTGGATAAAGTCCATGCTAGTGGTAAAAACCGGTATTTTCCAGAAAAAACCAGCAAAAAACCTGGTCTTTTCTATTAAAAATAATCAAATAAATTGATTTGATTATTTTGAGTAAAAATACATTAAGAGGAAGACATAAGGGGCCTGTATGGGCTTGCTTTGAATCTTGTACAGTTGACAACATTATTAAGTAGAAATGTATTGCTTATGGAATATTAGTTAGTGGAAAAGCTCCACGACTGAAACAACATCTTCAAAAGTCTAGTAAGTTTGAAAAGAACGATGATGATAATTCAAGTAAAAGTGAATCAGATAGGAAGAGTGAAATGAATAAATCAAGTAAAAGAAGAGAGATGCATCGATATCGAATCGCCTTCATGTTCTTATATTTTAAAGCAGCAGTTTTATAGTTTTTACCAGTTTATTATTCCAGTAGATAAACTCTGGACCGGTAAAATCCGGAATTTACTTTGGTTTTTTCCACCTACTGGATTTTTGCTGCTTTATATGATCTTTAAATTATAAAAGTTTCAGTTGATTCAACTGAAACTTTTATAATTTGAAGATCATTATATAAAACTTCTGGTATAATAGGATTTGGATGATAATGTTATTGGAAGAACTACAATTAATCAAAGTAATGCAGTAGAAGGAGCCAGATTAATTATAGGGAATAAACAAATAGAGGTAAAGTTTGCATTAATCTTTATTTATGTATTATTATTAGCAGAAAAATTAATAAAGTTGATTTTAGATTATAGAGCAACTGCCACAAGAACTATTTGTACCAAAGAAGAGTCTTGAGAAAACAGTAGAGGAATTATCAAAGAATAAGTTTAAAGCGTCTTCCACACATGCATTTATGCCCTTGTTTTCATCCACAAAAGGTACAAATTTATAATATATCAATTATTAATTACATTATAATCATTGATTTAATTAAATAAATATATTACAAAGGATTAGCATTAAACAGTGAGCCTTTAGTGATGCCTTATTTGAATTCTACTAAATCAATGAATCAAGAAGAACAGGAAATTTTGGTTGATTCTTGTTTAGTAGCAAAGCTTAGAGAGCATCAACGCCATGGAATTGTGTTTCTTTATGAATGTTTAATGGGACTAAAAGTACCAAATTATTTTGGTGCAATCTTGGCTGATGAAATGGGTCTTGGTAAAACCTTACAATGTATCGCGTTAATTTGGACAATGTTGAAGAAGGGCCCATATGGCAAACCAATTATAAAACGTGTATTAATAGTAACACCTAGTAGTTTGTGCAACAATTGGGAAAAGGAATTTGTAAAATGGTTAGGCTGCCACAGGATACTTCCATATGTTATAGGTGGCAAAAATAAGCCTAAAGATTTTATAAAATATCCGAGAAATTCGATCATGATTATTAGTTATGAAATGTTCATTAAATGTCATACAGAAATTAATGAAATAGCCTTCGATTTGATTGTCTGTGATGAAGGTCACAGATTAAAAAATAGCAATATTAAAACAGCAAAGGTAATTATCTATTTGATTTATAATCATTATTCATTAATATTATTTATTATTAATGCCAATGTAAATATTTGTTTTATGTATCTTGCAGATGTTAAACGAGATAAATTGTAAGAAACGAATTGTTTTAACGGGTACGCCCATACAAAATGATTTGAAAGAATTTTATGCACTGATCGACTTTGTTAATCCTGGCATTCTTGGCACACCTAATGAATACAAGAGTTATTACGAGGAACCTATTGTCGCAGCGCAGTATTCTTCTGCCGATGATGATGTTCTCAGTCTGGGAAATGAAAGATCCGCAGAATTATATAAACGCACCAAATCTTTCATTTTAAGACGTTCGCAAAAAGCGATAAATAAATATCTACCATATAAATATGAAATAGTCTTATTTTGCTCTTTAACCAAGAAACAAAAAGATTTATATTCTCTTATTACTGATGTTTGGTTCAACAAAATTTGTCTAGAAGACAAAAGTAATATACATTTATCTATCATTACTGCTCTTAAAAAAATTTGCAACCATCCAAATCTGTTCCTAAACGAAGAAGAGAAAGCGTTATATGACGTTTTGTCAAAATCATTATATATGTCGCAAATAAAACGAGATGAAAATTTTACAGAGTATTGTGGAAAAGTCACAATTGTACAGACATTAATGAGAAATTTGAAAAAGACTGACGAGAAGTTGGTGTTAGTCTCCTATTCCACACAGACTCTTGATCTTCTTGAGACTATATGCAACATGGAAAGATTAAAATTCTTAAGATTAGATGGTGCTACTTCAAGTACTATACGATTGAAAATTACCGAGCAATTTAATACGCAAACCGATAATAGTAGTAAGTTCTATAAAAATGAGATATAATTGTCTTGTACTTATAGTACATTTTATGAATTAAAACTGATATATTACAGAAAAATAATTCTTACAGAAGTTCTATTGCTAAGTGCAAAGGCAGGTGGTGTTGGTTTGAATTTACCTGGAGCATCTAGACTTGTTTTATTTGATTCTGATTGGAATCCTGCGTCTGATATGCAAGCAATGGCAAGGATCTGGAGAGATGGACAGAAGAGGAATGTTTACATTTATAGGTGTGTACAAGTTTAATATAATTACATGATAATGTATTGTTTAATGGAAGTATATATAATTTTGTATAAACAAATGTGTAGATTATTAACCACAGGTACGATAGAAGAAAAAATATATCAAAGACAAATTAGCAAAGCCAATCTGAGTGAGACTGTAGTGGATCTGAATTACCTTGGATCTCTAAAATTATCTACTGCAGAGCTAAAGGTATTTTTTATTATAAAAATTTTGATAATCACGAAAAGTATTACAAAAATTATTACTTAAAATATTTCTCATTTTTAGGATTTATTTACGTTGGCAAATGATACAATTTCATTAACACATGATTTAATGAATTGTTCTTGTTCTGGTAAGAATGAACATATACTTTCTAAAGAATTAAAAAAAAAAAATAATGAGACACGAGACTGTCAATTTATACTGTATGAGAAACCATCTCAACAAAATTTAACTATAAATCAGCTTCGAGAGTGGCAGCATTACAAACAACCAATTCCATCTGACGTTATGCAGGTAATAAACTGTTTAGTCTGATAACGATTAAAAATTGAGATTCAATAATTTAATGTACGTAAATACATTTATTTTACAGGATATTATGTTAACAGAAGTCAGTGATAATATAACATTCATATTTAAAAATTCTACAATGTAAAAAATAATTTAATTAAATGATGAAGAGAATTATAGAGATCATACGGTAAAATTAGTTGTATAAAAATTAGTTATATAAAACTATATTTTATGCATTGTAATGTACATTATGAATATTTGAGATATTAAATTTAGTTTTTGCTGTTTATTAAAAAAATATAAAGTATTTTAAAGCTTATTTTTTCGTGATAAGAAATTCAACATCCTTTGGATTAGCTCGGGAGATTCAAATAGTTTTTTCAGCTCTTCCATTTCTTCCTCATTAACTTTTAATAAAATTTCTTTGTTCCATCTACTCACTAATCGCTTAGTCGCCAATATTGACTGAAATTAATTGATTAATTGTATTACTGTAATTTAGTAACGCATATATATCAAAAAAAAATAATTTCGCGGAAAACCTTAAGCAAAAATAATACCTGTGAAGAAAGTGTCGATATCTTGTTTAAATAATTCCATACTTCTTCAAGAGAATCGTGATTGTACACTTTGCTAACCAAACCATGTTGTTTGGCTTCTTGAGCATTCATCTTGTACCCTAAATACAACATATCTCCGGCCTAAATAAATATTTTTGCAATGTAATATCGAAATCTTATATTACAAAAAGCAAAATTTTAAAACAAATCTTAAAAATAACTTGTACATATTTTATAATGAAACATACTTTGGAATGTCCTAGTAATCTTGGGAATGTATACGAAGAACATCCTTCAGCAACAAGACCCAAAGAGCTGAATGGTGTTTGAAAATATGCCTGTAATTTATATAATACATTCAAACATAGTTATAATTAGACTGCGGATATTTATGCAAAATACTTAACTGAATATTAACCAATAAACAGTTTTAGCAGTCGATCATTGTTCGTTAAAGAGTTATTAATAAGTAAAAAGATTGAGATTGCCATCTGTAAATATACAATTTATGCAAGATACTCAGTTAAGTATTTTGCCTGAATATCTGCAGTCTAGTTATAATAAATATAATAACATTTTCATACTGAATTATCATTGAATTGGCACCTTATCTGAAGCGTAAACTATATCAAAAATCCCTAATATCGTAGTTGCTATTCCTATTGCTGGTCCATTCACAACAGCTATTAAAAGCTTTGGGTACATAATTATAGTATCAATTAATTCCCTGCAAAATATATTTGTTGATTTAATTTCTATATTTAGAGAAGCATAAATTTGTCATGTTTCTTTTTTACAATACTTACTTAATTGTATCAACAGAAACCGAAAGAGATTCCATTGAGGCGCTTATGTCATTGCCACTGCTAAAAAAATCTCCATTTGCTGTCAGTACAAAAATCAATACTTTGTTGTTTTCAGCAGATTCATTTAAAAGCATTTTTAATTCCTTATACATCTATAAAAAACGGATATAGGAAATTCATATGAAATTATTTTTATATTTTACCTTTGAGGACCAGAATTTTCTTAAATAACTTATAGAAGATTTTTGCTTTTTAAAGGTCCGCTAAATTCAATTCTGATCTTAAAATTCAAATTTTAAAAATATAATCTGATTATTGTGAAACTTGATATCTCTGAGGTTGAATGTTGTCTAAAAATATCAAATTTTAAATAAAAAAATAAACTATTAGAAGTAAATTATCATATTATTCTTTAGCTCAAAACTGAGCGAGCATTTTATAAAATAAAAGGAGACGAGAGATCTCAAACGGAGTTGCCGGTCCACAAAAGGTTAACGCTGTCAAATATCCTTTATGTACATACTTGAGGTGAAAGTGCGTTCTTTCTGGCGGGTTTATTAAGCACCACTTTTTGAATTCCATTTTCCAAAGTACTCAGAATAAATGAATTTACATGCGTCATACTGAAAAGTTTTTTTAATGCAATTTAGAATTCACAATTAGTCGAGTATAACCTTTTTACTTTGCACTTAGTCACTTGCTTCTCCACTTACAGTGATACACTAAAAAAATTATTTAAAAAAGTTAAAATGCCGTTTGGTATACTATAAAGTAATATAATTATTAAGATATACTGTAAAGTAAAAATACAAATTGTCAGTAGCTTTTTAAAAAATTGCCTATTGCAGAACTTAAAAAATATAGACTTCTTATTTCTTTATTGATTTTGATCCCTATTTCAGGGATTAATTTGGTCGATAAGCGTTCAAAAGCTATTTGCTTTCATTTTAAGGATAATATTAATGTAATATGCTTCAAAACACAGACTTACATAACTGTGCTCCAAAACGAGTTTCAAAGATAAACTGATAAATATAGAGGATTGATAGAGCGGAAAGTTCATGTATATTACGAGCAGAGTCCAATCCTTTTTGCTGATAAACAGCCTTCTCATGCTACTAATATCAATCATCTCGTACTATCTGTGAAGTTAATAAATTCTGATTCCACTATGTCTTCGGAGAGTGCGCTATTGGCTGCGTTCAGCAGAAAAAGCAGCTTTGCAACTGTTGTAAAATTCTTGAATATGATTGGTTTATACATTGAGCGCATTCAGCGGACTCAATAGTTTGGTGAGCGCTCGCTGTTATTAGTGTATTCTTTTAGCTCATCCAATCAGAATTTTAGGTTTAGAAGAATACACCAATAACAGTGAGCGCTCACTCAACTGTTGAGTCCGCTGAATGCACCCA